TGGAGAGCAACTGGAAAGGTATCAAGGAGGCAATCGTTTCAACATGTCAGGAGGTTCTGGGCCAAAAGAAGCACTATCACAAGGAATGGATCACTGTTGGTACACTGGATAAAATTGAAGAAAGAAGGAACAAGAAGGCAGCAATCAATATCAGCCGAACAAGAGCAGAAAAAGCCAAGGCACAAGCCGAATACACAGAGGCAAACAAGAAAGTGAAGAGGAGCATCAGAACCGACAAACGTAAATATGTGAAAGATTTAGCGATGACAGCGGAAAAGGCTGCAAGAGAGGGAAACATGAGACAACTGTATGATACAACAAAGAAACTTGCTGGAAATTACCGTAAGCCAGAAAGATCAGTGAAAAACAAGGAAGGCAAAGTAATCACCGACATTGAAGAACAACGAAACAGGTGGGTAGAACACTTCAAAGAACTCTTGAATCGACCAGCTCCACTGAACCCACCCAACATCGAAGCAGCACCCACGGACCTCCCAATCGATATTGGCCCACCAACAATTGAAGAGATCAGCATGGCCATTAGACAAGTCAAGAGTGGCAAAGCAGCGGGACCAGACAACATCCCGGCGGAGGCACTGAAAGCGAATGTAACAGCAACTGCCAAGATACTCCACATCCTCTTCAGTAAGATTTGGGACGAAGAACAAGTACCAACAGACTGGAAAAAAGGACTTCTGATCAAAATACCAAAGAAGGGCAATCTTAGCAAGTGTGATAACTACAGAGGAATCGCTCTTCTCTCAATACCAGAAAAAATCCTCAACAGGGTATTGTTAAACAGAAGGACTCCGTAGACGCCCAAATTCGAGATCAGCAGGCTGGATTCCGTAAGGATCGATCGTGTACGGACCAAATCGCAACTCCATGGATCATTGTGGAGCAATCCATTGGATGGAATTCATCACTCTACATCAACTTCATTGACTACGAGAAAGCAAATGATAGCGTGGACAGGACGACACTATGGAGGCTTCTTCAACACTACGGCGTGCCTGAGAAGATAGTGAATAACATACGGAATTCCTATGATGGATTAAACTGCAAAATCGTGCATGGAGGACATTTGACAGACTCGTTTGAGGTAAAGACCGGTGTCAGGCAAGGTTTCCAACTCTCACCCTTTCTCTTTCTCCTGGTGATCGATTGGATTATGAGGATGTCAGAATCTGGAAAGAAGCACGGGATAAAATGAACAGGTAGGATGCAGCTTGACGATTTAGACTTCGCAGATGATCTGGTTCTTTTCTCACACACATAACAAGAAATTCAGGAGAAGATTGACAGTGTGGCAGCAGCCTCAGAAGCATTAGATGTCAATATAAAGAAAGGGAAAAGCAAGATTCTCCGATTCAACACAACATGCACCAATCTAATCACACTTGACGGAGAAGCTTCGTAGGATGTGAAAACCTTTACATATCTGGACAGCATCATTGATGAACACGGTGGATGTGATGCAGATGTGAAGACGCGAATCGGTAAAGCAAAAGTTGCATATCTACAATTGAAGAACATCTGGAACTCAAAACAATTGTCAACCAACACCAAGATCAGAATTTTCAATACAAATGTCAAAATAGTTCTACTGTATAAAGAGAAAACTTGAGGAACTACAAAAGCCATCATCCAGAAGAAACAAGTGTTTATTAACAGTTGTCTACGCATAATACCACCAACAATTGAAGAGATCAGCATGGCCATTAGACAAGTCAAGAGTGGCAAAGCAGCGGGACCAGACAACATCCAGGCAGAGGCACTGAAAGCAAATGTAACAGCAACTGCCAAGATACTCCACATCCTCTTCAGTAAGATTTGGGACGAAGTACAAGTACCAACAGACTGGAAAGAAGGACTTCTCATCAACATACCAAAGAAAGGCGATCTGAGCAAGTGTGATAACTACAGAGGAATCGCTCTTCTCTCAATACCAGGGAAAGTCTTCAACAGGGTATTGTTAAACAGGATGAAGGATTCTGTGGACGCCGAACTTCGAGATCAACAAGCTGGATTTCGTAAGGATAGATCGTGTACAGACCAAATCGCAACTCTACGTATCATTGTGGAACAATCAATCGAATGGAATTCATCACTCTACATCAATTTCATCGACTACGAGAAGGCATTTGATAGCGTGGACAGGACGACACTATGGAGGCCTCTTCGACACTACGGCGTGCCTGAGAAGATAGTCAATATCATACGGAATTCCTATGATGGACTAAACTGCCAAATTGTCCACGGAGGACAACTCACCGACTCGTTTGAAGTAAAGACTGGTGTAAGGCAAGGTTGCTTACTCTCACCCTTTCTCTTTCTCCTGGTAATCGACTGGATTATGAAGACGTCAACGACTGGAGGAAAGCACGGGATACAGTGGACAGGCAGGATGCAACTTGACGATCTAGACTTCGCGGATGATCTGGCTCTTCTATCACAAACGCAACAACAAGTGCAGGAGAAAACGACCAGTGTAGCAGCAGCCTCAGCAGTAGGTCTCAATATAAACAAAGTGAAAAGCAAGACTCTCCGATACAATACAATATGCACCAATCAAATTACACTTGACGGAGAAGCTTTGGAGGATGTGGAAACCTTTACATATCTGGGAAGCATCATTGATGAACACGGTGGATCAGATGCAGATGTAAGGGCGAGGATCGGCAAAGCAAGAGCAGCATACTTACAACTGAAAAACATCTGGAGCTCAAAACAATTGTCAACCAACACCAAGGTTAGAATTTTCAATACAAATGTCAAGACAGTTCTATTGTATGGGGCGGAGACGTGGAGAACTACGAAAGCCATTATCCAGAAGATACAAGTGTTTATTAACAGTTGTCTACGCAAGGTACTTCGGATCCGATGGCCAGACACTATCAGCAACAAGTTACTGTGGGAGACAACAAATCAGATTCCAGCGGAGGAAGAAATCAGGAGGAAGCGCTGGAAGTGGATTGGGCACACTTTGAGGAAATCACCCGATTGCGTCACAAGACAAGCCCTCACATGGAATCCTGAAGGTCAAAGGAGAAGAGGAAGACCAAAGAACACATTACGCCGAGAAATAGAGACAGACATGAGAAGAATGAACAAGAACTGGATAGAATTAGAAAAGAAGGCCCAGGACAGAGTGGGTTGGAGAATGCTGGTCGGCGACCTATGCTCCATTGGGAGTAACAGGCGAAAGTAAGTAAAGTAAGTAATTTTTAAACACATTTAATGTTTGGTAGAACCAGATGGCAATTCATTTCGTTTTTTATTAAACAAAAGAGATGGGTTTAAGTAATAAATAAAGAACGGAAGTGTACAAGTGAGGGGTGACATTATTCCACTGCACTAACATGTCAGTATTTGTTTACTATATACAACCTATTTTGGTGAAGTTATGCAGTGATCATAAAAGGTCACTCAATACATTCCAGAAAAAATTTTTACATGAAAAAATGCAGACTAGAAACCATTCGTATCTGCTATTCAAATTGTCTGAAATATTAAAATAATAATCAATATAAGGTTTTGGAGAATGCCGAGATTTTATCGAGATCATGAAATGATCAACGTTAGACCAACATTGAAAACCTGTAGGCATTGGACGGCTGTTTCGTCCTGGTGTGGGACTCCTCAACAGTGTGCATCCACGATCCCGTACGCGGGACTAAAATAATAGATAATGTGGAATCAATGAAATCAATGAAATTAGCGCGGAAAATTCTTTTGAGTTGATAGAATCTTAATGATGCTTAAAGTTAAGTATGATTACACATCGTCTACTGAGATTATATAAGTTAATCTTCGTTTCTACTTGGAGAACTCCAGGAATTGCTTTTACTTTGGTAATTAACATATACAATGTGTGACAAATAACTCAGATAGGCTAAACTTACTAAAAACCATAGTAGCTAATAGATTATCACTAACATTCATTTCAAGTAGATAAGTTACCTAGTACTCTATATATACTACACGATTGCTGGTTTCTAAATCCCTAATATTGTCTAGTTCATAAAGTAGAAGAGATTCCAAGTTAAAGAAACTCTATAATGATAAGTGGAAATCCGTCGTGTAGTTAATGCGATTGATCATTTATTTGTTAGCAACTCATTGTTTTTGATTTAAATTTTGTTCACTTTTAATTAGACAAGGTATGTGAAGTATATGAATTAGGTATGAATTTAATGATGGACAGCAACATTATGTAATTTCGTAGTGATAATTAGAAAAAGCAGTTCAATCGTACGCTGTGATTGATAATATAAATATATACCTAAAAAGCTTTTATTTAATTTTGTCACGAAGTTATATAGATATTTTGTAAACATTGGAATTTGTATTTATTGAGAATTCTGGCACCTGAAAACATAAGCAAGTAATGGTTACACATAGATTATGGAGATCTGCAGCTCAGGTAGACGGTTTTGGTGGAGTTTTGTTTTCTGAGCTGGATGGTTCAATTGTGGATCTTTTATTGTTATTCCGAACAACAACACCAGCACAAACATCAGACAGAGGTACAGTATTCGGATTTCTTAACATATGATTCACAGGTTATCTTCTTGACCTCGATCTTGAATGATTATTGTTGACCTTTAACCTGCCATTGTCTGCATTTTCATTTTGATTGTATTCCCCTTTGATCTGATTCTTGATTCCATATTTGTTCATGATTTATCTAAGTGGTTGATAAATTGGATTAATTTCGCTGTGCTTGTTGATCGCTGATCGATCTTGGTGCCAAGCTTCTAATAATTTTCTGGTGTTCTTAGTATCACCTCTATCCGAGATTTAGAAATTTTTTCAGTCGAATGTGTGTCCAAAGTTGACTACATCTATTGTCAAAATCAAAGACATATCATGGCGTTTGACCGCTAGTTGATGTTGATACAGGGGAAAGTAATGAGGACCTTCCATTTGTCCGGTGTAGTGTTTCTTCTAGCTGGAACAGTTTATTTTGTTGATGATGCTCGGTTTTTCTTCTTTTTGTCATTTCATCCTTCGGTTTGCCGATTCATATACTTCACTTATTTCAAACGGCTTCAATAATTTCGTTGTAATTTCCAATATTGCTTATTCATATTGTAAAATGATCCGTTTGTTGGTTTCTGTATTTGCTTACAGTCTGGCCGATGAGTTGGATTGATATTTTTTAATGAAGCTGATTGGATAGCCACTCTATTAAAAGATATTTTTCTTCATTTCTCGACTCTGTAAGTGTGCTGTTGTGTTCTCAACATTTTAAAAAACGTTTTTACGAAGTAAATTTTGCGAGTTATTAGGTTGTTGCTGCCTTAGTCGCGAGTCTGATCCGTATGAATTGGTTCCCGATATACTTATGTCCTTAGTTTTCCTGTGTTGGTTCCTGCGATTAATACATTCAAGAATTATAGTTTGTTGTTGGACTTCTTTATTGTTGTGAATTATATTTCATCGAAGACTTTGTTGATCAAACTGTAGGTGTTTTCCAACGCGTTCTTTTTGATCATGACGAATGTGTCATTCACATAAGGAATTCATATTTTCGGCTTGATCACGGGTAAAGTCGATGCTTCCAGTCTCTGCATCACTGCTTCTGCAATAGGTTCTGATACTGGTGATTCAACCGGTGTTTCTTTTGTCTGTTCGTACATTTTATGTTGTTAACAATAAATCGATGAGTTTTAATAGACTGTGGAGAAATTCGAATGCTTCACCTCTACTTGAAGTTTGTGCCAATGATGGTATTTATGAGAGCAATGAAAGTTCCAGCTGGTTCAGAAAACGGAACTTCACTAAAAACATAGATGATTACTGTAGTGTTATTTTTCATTTGTACATCAAAGGAATGATGTTTTTCTGGAAAATATTCTGAATAATAAATTATGCTCTATGCTAAATTTGTATGACATTTAAATAACATAGATAATAATAGCTTCAGTACTAATAATGTCTGTCGTAATAGAGAAAAAGTTTTGTTGCATCTTACTTCAAAATGTTGACGCCAAATACTAAGCTTATTGCCTAACGATAAGCAAGTAAATGTTTCATTAAGATACATTTTGAGTCCAACAGCTTTGTGAGATAGAGAACTAACAGTGAAAGCATTTTCTGATGATGCGCCAACATAAAGACCATAATCACAACACGCTTTAGATGCTGCATTTCTGCTCATAATGTTAAAGGTATTTTCATCAACTATTGCGGGATCAGTGTTTGGCATTGCTAAAATAGTTACTATACCACCTGCAAGCGCAGCTTTAGTAACAGATGTCCAGTCCTCCTTATATTCCATTCCGGGATCCCTGTATAAGTAATAGACAAAAATGAAAATAACGAGTCATGGGTTTTTAAAATACCTATAGAATAGTCATGGGGATGTGTTTCATTAACTGACTTTTTATCAACCAACACCCATATTATTTTGTGGAGGATTTCACAATAGATGAATTTTTAGCTAATCATTTATCACATCGTTAAATTAAACGGTCAAAGCTTTTACCTTGTAAGACAACATGAAAGGATTATTTGGGAAGAAGTGTCGGAACCTATTTAACCTGAACAATACTAGACAGAAGGCATCTAATCTGCATGTGAAATTAAAGAAGTGATCGGAGTTTCTTGGTGATGACTGAAACAACCTATAGTGAGTGTAATATTTGTTGCCTGATATTCTACCATCCTAGGCAGATCATTTGAAGAGTGCTAAAGATAGAAAAAATATAACGTCCATAAATGAAGTCTTACTATCGGTGTGGATAACCAAAACAATTCACCTATCATCTACGTTATTAATGACTTCTAGTGATCCCATCGGTATGATTCTAGTTTGGAAACAGATAGTGAAGTGAACATTCGTGTAATGGACTAACAACATTATCTGACTTGAGGACACTGAACATAAAGTCAAAGAATGACATTAATAAATCTTTGTTGAAGAAGTTTGATAGAAATTTCCAGCTCTTTCTAGGGTTCATTTCTGGATTTTGATCATGTTCAGTTACAAGACCAAAATAACTGGGACAAAGAGGTCTTTTGGAGCTTAGTCTAAAAGTGTAAATGTTACAGATATACCCAAGGAAGAAATAACTGAACACTTATAGCCATATACGAAGGATATTCGTCTCCAACTATTCCAGCATGGTATTGAACTAGGTGTAAATACAAACATATCTGTCAGCAGCGTACATCAAAATGCTTAGAAAAGGAATAGTGAATTTCTGAAGTATTTACTGAATTGATTTCTACAGAGTCTGAACACAATAATGATTAGAGGCAACTCAAACGTAAACAAAATGCCTATGTAGTAATCAAAAGCAGAAAGGATGGAAAAGGCAGCTGCAATATTTAACACAGAATAGCTTTCCAGATTCATGAGAGAGACATAAGTTAAAAAGTCAGCTATCACTGAGACTATCTCGGAAATATGTGGAGCTGTGATCTACTTTCAGCCTGGGCGACTGGAATGACAGATGGAACACTTTAGGAAACAGCCTAGATTGGTTCCAGCCACTCTTCCCACTTGCAACTATTTACAGACAGTTCGAATGAGAGTCAGATGTAAACCATCTGAATTTAAGTGAGTTTTGAAAGACAATAGCTACCTTGGAGCGAAAAACAGCATCAAGATTTATTAAATTAGTTTCAAAAGTCTTTATGAATGATGCCTTAGCATTAACATTAAAATTAGCTGAATTACTAATCAGATCTAAAAAGCTGGAAGTCGTTACACCTGAGTGGTTGCGACTGTTCTCTAAGAAAGATCCACTTTTGATAGCCACGGATGAATCACTCCGATTAATATCGGGTCTAAAATATCAACTTCCTTAATCACCTGACACTTAAATGAAGGATGGAAACATTGAACCAGAGGAAACTATGTAGATTTTAAACCTAGTCGTGGAAGTATTCGCCAAGTTTTCATAATTGAAATCATGAGTCAATTGATTTCAACTGAAAAAAAATTAAATTTCCTCAAAACCACCTTCTGATAAATCTTCATAAGGTAACAAGCTCTAAAAAGAAGGTATATATTGACGTCAAATTTAGTCACATTAAACGGTTAGATTCCATCCAAGTCCAAAAATGTCTGTAAACCTACTGAAGGTTTCTTATTTGGGTACTATTGGTAAAGTTGACGATTACGGTAAAATATCAAATGGATTATTTGCATCAAGCGCAGTTCATGAAAACTGATAAATTCTCCATTTTTATTATTTTTTTAAAAGGTATACCTCGAAAACCAAAGCTTTTCCGCCTGACTTTCCGGGTATTGGTCACCTACTTATATAGCCAGTCAATGACAGGGTAGGTAAATAAGTTTCATTTAATGACAAACGGAGTCTTTTCAACAGCTTGAGCAACAATCTGAGAAAGTTTGGGATGCGTTTGTCTACCACTAATTCCAAAACTGGTCTGCATTAACTTCCACTCTGACTATAGAGAGTAACGTAGTCAAACGTGTTAACCAGTTTATTTATCCTCAAAGTTACGGTCCTAAGAAGTTGGTGGCTGACAAAATCTTGGCACGGATCAAAAGTGTTAATTCACATATACCAACTCGCTTTATCTGTGAAGTAGTCGAACCATCTTTCTGCTAACTATGGGACGCGAATAATTCAGAAAAGTCTCCCTCTTTATGAATGTAAAAGTGTTTTTGAAGGTACAGGAGATATTTTTGGCACTGCAATACACATTTTTTGATTTGTAGGGATGAGAATAATAGCGACAAAATCATTACCAAATAAAGACGGATAATCAGAACGTCAGTAAAAATTTCGAACTAGAAGAAACTATCTTAGTTACAACCAAATGAATGTGATCTGTCAGATACACTGCCAACACAATGTTATAAATTAAGGATAACCTCAGTTAGACAACTATTCCAATCATTTGCCATTAGAGCTGGCCTTTGCCCATTTTTTACTGACTAATTAAATGTAACACTAATCAAATAAGTGATTTCATTTATTAAAATAGCTTACTCAATTATTACAGTTCCTATTTTATTTATCCACATGAGTTTTCTAAGGCTTTTGAAGTGAGTGAAAAGGAAATCGTAGCATCATTCTGTTGGATCAAGTTACAACTTTCCAGAATGATTAGGGATTTATTTGGTCAATGAGTTCTCAAATTTACAGAATGGATGGTAACTTTAGGTGTTTTATCAAATTTAGCGAATTATGGACTTTTAAAGTCCAAAAATAGCCATTGATCCAAACTAAACACAAACCTTGTTTAGCATTGTTTAATCAGAACACTGAAATCCAGTTATGCAATATCCATAAATAAAACAATGTGTATCTGTAATTCAATTGTTCAATAACTTGATTTTTGACACTGATAACAGACTCTAATATTTATCACTGATTTTAATTTGTCCAGTACCTTAGTGAGTCACTTTTACACAAGTGTAATTTCAAAGTGAGTACAAGAATCGGCACTTCGTTAACGAACTGAATTAGCTATAACTTACATTAGATGTATGATACACCATTTAATAACTACATCGTGATTTTCATCAATAGTTAAGGAATCAAACGCCAGTATTACAGAGAATATCAAACAAATTGTGGAACAGCTCAAGTCTTTCTAATTAGGATAGTCTAATGACATGTTTCTACTCATCACTATGCTGCATTTTATCCGGTCATCAGTAAATAAATATAAAAACAGTACAACGTGACTATTGCATAAAACATTACCTGGTGTGGACGTGAATATCGATCAAACCTGGCAAATATATTATTTGACTAGAAGTTATTGAGTGCAATGGAAGTAAACGATGAAGGAATGATTGCTTATATACGTTATATTCATTGTCTTCAGATTTTATCAATGTTTTATTAGCACTCTGTCCATGAAAATAACGATAAAGAGCTTCGATAAGAAGTTTAGCCAGTTTTACATCAGTTAGAAGAGGTACGTTTGTGTCAACGGCAAGACGTCTAGTTTGATAACCTAAATAAAGTTTATAGGGGGAAGAGTTATTAATAATTTACAGTTCAATAGTATAAATAAATGTGAATAATCAAACAACATACTGAGTTTCGTAAATCATAATTATTTTTTTATAATTTGATCAGCGTTTGATTGTAAATCGCTGATGCAAAAAAATAAACATGTCATAAACTAAGGTTAAGGTAGAATGAATCTATTACATGGATTAAAACTGTAATCTAAATCCGTTTACTCAAAGAAATTTAGAGATTTCAATGGCGATTCATAACATATATAGTGAAGGAAAGAAAAATATACCATTTCATATTATATTCGATTTCATTAAAACGGAATTCTGAAATTGGTTCAGCGTCTTACTCAACAAAAACGTCATTGTATATGATTTTTGAATTAGAATTATTATTAACGGACTTTCTCATAGCATTTCAGCAGCGTAGAGTTTCAAGTATAAAGGGATGTATAGATATTACGTGTTCGCTGCCCCCAAATGCCCTGGTACGGCCAGGGTGAAGAGATTCCGCTCTCTCTCTCTCTCGAAATGCTTTCACATGGCCATGTATATACAACCACTGTCAGAGAAGTCCTACTCACTGCCTTCTCGCAAACGAGGTGTTGTTCACGAAATTGAGTGGACGGAAAGCGAATGTCCGGCGCTTTAACCGGGTTGGTGGGTACAGAGGGTCCAGCTTGGGGAGTTGGAAAACCCTGATTCCAAACCAATGGTGCCCATTAGCTTCACTATCCTAGAGAAACAAATGGAGTATGAACCTATTGTTGGTCACCGGCTACCATGGGACTGCATCTCTTAAAAATCCAAAGCATTATGTGTCTAAATAAATAAGTAAACTTGTTTGTTCGTAGACTAATTAAAGACGTGCTATAAAATATAAGGTTAGGAAACAGTCGTACAGATTTAATCTATATTTTTCATTTATTTCAAAATACATACAATACTTTATAATTCATTACAGAATTTACTGTTGCATTTTACATGTAATATTCAACTAGTGTTATTTATTTTAGGAACACTAAGTCTAGTGTGTGAGTTGAAAAATTATTCTGTATAACACTGACAAAATGAGTGATATATTGCTCACCACGTGTAACAAAGGCTGAAAGACGCCGAGATCCCACTTTTTTCAATGATAAACTAACAATCAATGAAAACAGTTTATCTTTAAGATATTGCTGAATTGTACCGTCTTTTGAACTTGCATCCATATTATTTTGAATTCTAAAATAAAAAGTTTGAAGAAACCTAATTTAGGTAAATAGTTAGTACTAATAATACTATAGAAAAATTTCCACAGTATACTAATTAATACGAGGCCAAAGCAAGAAATAGAAGATTAATCTTAGTATATAGTTAGAACATCTGTTCGAAATTCTCCTTAACATTATTCAGGACAAAGTGAGCTTTGATTACAATGATAATTATAAAAAAATTGAGGAAAATGTTAAAAAAGAAGCTCACTTATTATCATAAATGCATATATCTGATTCTTCGTAAGGCCATTCCACTGGGATGATAGAAATGCCTTGAGTTTGATAGAAGTCAGCAGTTCCACAACTTCCGTATAATTTGTATCCAAGTTGGTGTAACTGTTTAACACTGTGAAACAAAGTATGATAAAGTTAAAACCGGAAGAATTTTGTCATTCCGGTGGTAATGTCACTTATCAACTGGAAATCACTTGATTAAAAACCGTGTCAGTACAAGCTGTTTACACATCATGCAAATTTGCTTTAAGTCATTGGAATCAGATGATACAAAAAAGTAGAAAAAAACTCTTTAACTTAGAGAAAATAAGCTCTTATAGAATACGATGAAATGTGGATAGCAGAGAAGTCCAGGAAGCGCGTTTAGTTCCATTTGCGATTAGTTAGCTAAACGTACACTTAGATTTCAATGTTAATGTTTACAACAGAACTCGAACTCAGTGGCTTTTCCATCAAACGCTCAACGAGTTATCTGTTTAGTTACTCAGCTCAGACATCCACTAGCTTGTACAAAAAGTACGAATTTTAATTCAATTTCTAATGAATTGGGTTCTAGTTCCGATGTGAACATCAGTACTGAGATCCACGTACACTCAGCTAACGAGACTTAAATAGAATGAAACACACATCCTGGATTCTATCTATTGTGTAGAAATTTGTGAAAAAATGGCTGTATCAAGAGGGCCTGCACATGAAGCACATATGACAATTAAGACAGATGGAAATTCGAAATGAAAATTACTTCTGCTTATTCTGATTGCTATCAAGCATTCTAACTACTAGTGAAGTAAGAATGAGTCGATATTAAGACAATACTATACAAATGATGTCATAAAGTCCTCATTATCATTAACTTGGTTTGATTTTTCTAAAAATTATTTGTTAATCAATATTCTCGAAAACGAATCCCGAATAAATACTTAAACAAACAAGCATACTCAACTGAGAAGTAAATGATAAATTTTATTTAGATTAACAGTTGGGTGCTAAATATTTAGTATGTAATCCATCAATCTAACTAGTTATATAAATAATCGTAGATACTAGAAACAATGATCAAAGTAGTAAAAATAATCTATAAACTAAATGACATCCACCACCTAATTAATGAAGTCAAAATCGTCAAAGGAAAGAACTGATGACCTAAATGTCCGGTATAAATTTTATAGATCTTGTAATTACAGCGGATACAATCCATGCCCACAAATTTGGTCTGCATTTAATTTTGTTAAGCCTGACCATCATTTTTTGATAGTCTAATTTATCAAGAAATTGCTCTGAAAATGTGTTGAAACATGTTTACCAAGGGTTTTAAAAACTACCTATATAATGAAATTCTTGAGTAAGTTTCGAATATGCAATTTTCAACATTCTAGTTAGTTAGAATTTCCAGACATTATTCTAACTACTGACAACCAAATAACAGCGCAAATAAACAGTAGAAAATAATTTTCCGAAAATTTAAGCTTGCTTTTTTAGTAGTGAGATGCTAATTATTACATGTGAAGTGTTTTACTGCTCCCACTCTTCACAAAATATAAAAACGTCACAGAGAACACTGGTCAGTGGCTAACACCTTTGATTTAAATGTACTGACTTGCACAGAGTAGGTGATATAAGTTATCATAATTATAAATTGCTTGAAAGGAGACAGTATTTGAAGAATTTTACTAACCTTGGAAGCATTTCCAATTTATGACGATAACTTCCTATAGATAAGAATACATTATCACCTGGTTTTGGAAGGAGTCCATTTGTATTACATAATGCAGCGGCTTGTGCTAAGAGATAGGCTTCATAGCGATCAACACCAAAACATGCTACTTCACCAGTACTGACCATTTCGACACCCAACAAAACATCAGCACCCAAAAGGCGTGCGAAAGAGAATACCGGAACCTTGGATATATAAATGTTTTTGCAATTTAGATATACATCAGCGAAATGAAATTATGATGTATTATACTATAATTCGTAGAATTTATGGCTTAGCTTTAAATGAGTGATAGACTGTTACAAAAGATTTAATTTTACCGAACGTTCTGTACCGAATATATCGATATATTGCTTCTACAACAGCTAACCTTTTGATCTATTTCGTTTTATTTCTTCGTTTAAAATCTTAAATTACAAAATACATTACTAAAAGTATGCTTCTATTTACATTTGCTATAATTATTTTTCAAAACGGTTACCGAAGACAATAACGATAGTAATAGTAAGTACATACTCTAGTTCCCAATAAAACGCAAAATATACGACACAAAATGACGTTAATCATAGAAGCATACCTTTACACCAACATATCCTATAGTGTTCTCCAAAATGTTGACAGATGGCTCAAGAAAGGACTTGGATAGGGACAATCTTTCCAGCTTTGAATTAGGCGTATCAAATGGGGGATGTATGGCATCACGTGCTGCACCAAGAATGGCTCGTGTAGCAGCTGCTATAAAATCATACTTAAGTGTTTTAGATACAAATGGAAAAGAACGGGAAACTCTTAAGTTTGCTTCTATGATTAGAAGACGATTGTCTTTAGCAAGAAGTTGTAAGTTGAATGGACCCGATACTTCAAGTTCATCTGCCAAAGCTCGAACTAGTTCTTTGATAAGTTTCAGAGTTTCTTCGTTGAGGTCTTGAGGGGGGGTGACAAGTGTTGCATCACCTGAATGAACACCAGCATTCTCAACATGTTCAGAGACAGCCATTGCAACTAGACGACCAGATTGTGCAACAGCATCAACATCTATTTCTTTGGCATCCAAAATAAATTGACTTATAACAACTGGGTGTTCTGGACTAATATTTTTTGCGGCAGTCAGGAATGTAATTAATTGATCATGATCGTTTGCAACATTCATAGCAGCACCAGATAACACGTAGCTTGGTCGAACGAGACACGGGTAACCGACCTGTAAATGAAAATAGAACAAAAACTTCTGAACAACAGGATATAATAACTACTAGTATTAATAATAAGATTTTTTTTATTGTCATCAATTCACCAATGTTATTTTCATGTCTTAAATCAATCATTTTAGTGAACATGTTGCCAAGTTGATTTGCAATCTAACTTCAAGTCCATTCTGGGAGAGGTGAGATCAGTTACCTCCAACGGATTCATCAATCGGTAAGTCATGACCAACATAGAACCTCACGTATGTGCATAGGATCAAATTAAAATACCAAACCAGCACAGTGAAATGAGACTATTAAGATGAATACTAGAGTATTAGAAGTAGTAGTAACAGTGATAGTACAAAGAATGTTAGGCAAAGGGAATTTGGTTGGAGAAGAATAAACAAACTTGTAGAATCAGAAGCACAAAATAATTTTGAAGCGTAGTACCGAATTAAGGGCTAAGAATGAATCCTTCTGTGCAATTACCACTGATTTTTAGCCACATCATCCAAAGTTTCCAACCACTGGTTGGAATTATCACACTGATCACATGGAGTTAGTCCAAATCTACAAAAATGGATTTCTCCAATAGTTAATCATTTTATGGACTGATGCGACGTCTTGGCTTAGCTGTCCTTAACTTTTTTGCAACCTACTCATACACTGGTAATCATTGCGTGTCGATGTAGGTGGCTTATGGGTATATGTAATACATGACCAACCACTTCAGTTGATGGAGATTTATAATCTTTTAAACGGAATTACCCTGGATTAAATATTAATATTGCTCACTCAGCCGTCCCAACATGGGAGACTAACACTTCATGGGTATATATTGTCAACTACTAGTAACTTACGAATGTCCTCTATTGATTGTTTGAACTGGTTGGACGGAGGAATTCACCATTCTAGACAATGAAAAGTTTCTACTCAGTGGGGATACAATTCCTTAAAATATTATACCAATTTCTATCCTTATAGCTGAAATCATCAGGTACTTTGTTTTAAATCACACTATTTTAATGTCATGGATGTGTCTTTAAAAATAATTATTTATCCCCATGTTTGAAAAACAACGAGTGCCAACTTCTCGATACAGATAAATTTCCTTCCAACTATTTCAATGATGATAATAAATTATCTAAGTTTGTACGTCACTCTAAATACTCTACTCAGTTCAAAAGCGTGTTTTATGCAAATCGTCTATTCAATCTACATGCGTTTACTGTTTTAAGATCTTTGATTTTGTATCCATAGCTTTGAGTCACGAATTTACAGGCAATGGTGCAGAAGTAAAGTGTTATAACATGGCTCTATATCCATTTAAGCTTTATAAGAATTAATGGCTGAGTTTAAACAAACATCTACTGTAAAACGGTTACTACCTATTACTGATTGAATTATTTATTAAACAATAATAAAGAATAAGATTTGGAACTGATGACAACTCAAATAAATAGATGCCGAGTTCAAAATCTACGTGATCAAATTTAAAAAGGGATGAAGCCGATTTTTTAGAATAATGTTTACCCATCTGGAAAGCGCTTTTTAAAGAGTAGCTATGGATTTAGTATCCATGATAGGAATTACGTCATACTGTTGGAGATAACAAAATTATGAGCAAAATAAAATATCATAAAATAGAGAAACCTTGCTTACTTCTTCACAGAAGGCCTTGGCTGAATCAATATCAGTGAGTTCTTTCCATCTAGGCTGTGACAACCCGATACAGTCTAACAAACGTGAAAACTTGAAACGATTTTCAGCATTGTCAATGGACTCAGCACTTGTGCCGAGAATAGGTACACCTAAGCGATGTATTGGCATAGCGATATTATTTGGTGTTTGGCCACCCATGCTTACGATAACACCTATGGGTGATTCGAATCTGTAATTATGTTTAGGAATTAAAATTGACACACAAAACATAGCTAAATGATCTCCTAGGAAGTGCTTTAATATCAAATTCAAGTTAAATCTCGGGCATAACATTTTTTGTACAAAAGTGATGACATGTAAGGAATGAATTAACAAAAAAATCAAAGCGTTATTCACATCAAAAACTCTCAATCAAAATTTATTACATCTAAGTGATGGCCCATTATATAACTGTAGTAACAGCAGTTTTTTTGTAGGTCAATGGGTCGAGATCAGAAATCTACTTTGTTGAGTCGGCTTCCGGAGAACTCTAACAGAGCCTCCAGAGGCTCATAAACAGCCCCAACCAATCAGCGATTAGTTAGAAGTTGTGTGAAGTTATGTTACTAAAATAACCAGATCCTGATTGGCTGATTAACACACTGCCACTATGTTTAGCAGTATTCTAGAACTTTCGGTAAAACTCAAGGTCTCTTAAATTACTATAAAATCCCTGTATTTTCTGTACATAAAGGAACCCTGTAGTAAAGTGCTTCCCACAAACTTTGTGACTTTTCTCTGGTCTTCAAGTCGGTGTATAGTTCTAGCTCGGGGGTACGTAACTAGCTTAGGGAAGCGAATATAGCGTTCACAATCGGCCAGACGTAGCATACTTGGTGAACGTTGAACATCGTCTGAACCTATTATAGATAAATTTTTCCAAAGATCACCCACCCAGATCACTTAAAAAGACCAGCGATGTTTGGTAGTGGTAGTCACTTGGTAAAATCATCCAGCTATTAAGCATGGGTCACAAGATCTAATCCAACTTAAGCGACTTCAGTTCGGGCGAACGACTAATTTTGCTAGACCTTGAGACAAAACTTGTGGCTCAAAGCCTAATAAACGAATTTGTAAATTTACTGAGTTGTACTAAGGAGAAAGAAACAATAAAGAAACACCAACTGCAACACATCACATTTAACATGGTTTCCGATATCGTTCTGTTTACACTGAATAGTAAATCCCATTTCATCAACTCAGTGAGTATAAAACGAATGACATCCAAAAGCATATTGAAATAATATTTTAATAGCATATTCAACCTGATTGTATTGAAGTGATTGGGGGTTCATCAAGCTGAAAGCCTGTTGCATCTCACCAGGAGACTTACCCCAAGGGCATTTGCAGCCATCTGATCAAGCTGCACAGTACGATATATATTACACTTCTAAGGACATCAGAGAACTAAAAGTGCCACCAAAAATATAGACCTGACAGTACTAAATAGTACTTGTTTCTTGTCAAAAATGCCTTACTAAACGAATTAACACGTCGTTAGGACCGTTAAGTTGTTTAATCAGTGAAATAGCAAAGAATTAGTAAGGTAATTTTTAATTAAGATACAGAGTTTCATTCGAGTCACTTAAGTAATTACAAAACTCCTTGGAAAACCTCTTCTTTCAGAAGCGTATATTTTCTGTGGAATAAAACGTAAAGTTACTTAAAATGGTTGTAGTATATGGGACTTACTCATATATATCTAGAACACGTTCAAGAGATAGTTCATCAAAATAGAGTCGGTCACACATATCAAAATCAGTTGATACAGTTTCGGGATTACAGTTGATGATAACTGTTTTCCATCCTAAGCGTCGAAGTTCCTTGACACAACCGACAGCGCACCAGTCGAATTCAACACTAGAGCCAATACGATAAACTCCAGAGCCAAGAACCATAACGCTTGCTTTAAAGCAAAATTAAAACAGTGGAAGGACAGTTCATATATAAGTGAGAAAATTGTCAAATTTCTAATTGGTAACTTTCAATCATTCTCTATCTGACTAAGGTCCTTCTCACAAACATTTGTCTTCCACCTAAAAGTCTATTAACTACGAGTTTGTTTATTGTACATCATTTTACTCAAGATGCAAGTGAATGTCTGTGCAGCTCTAGTGACTAGGCAGTGAACATGCACGTTGAGTAGACTTACATGTTTGCCGTCTTCAAGCATTTATTTGTTTATCACTTCTATTTTGCCTGTTAGAGTTAACTGTAATAGGAACTTTTAGTGCTAAATGTCTCGGAATTCATTCGACTGTACAAATATACACCTAAAAATACGTCATTGTCTTCGTTATACTGCCTTTCTCTACACCTATGTTTTACAGTAAGGCACAAAAACCCAGCAATACTCTTCGAGAACAATGAGCAAATACAAAATTGGACTGACGTTATGTTTGTGGGATTTTTATCAGATTCACTTAGAGATATGATCTAGTGGTATTGTAGTGATATGACCCTTATTGAAGTGTCCTACATGAAAATTTAACTCCGCCTGTAGCCATTCCAGGGTTACTGCCGGCCCCGAACCAGGGTAAAGGAGCAGAGTTGGATATGAGGTCAGCAACCCCACTAGGTAGAAAACAACTTTGCCAACAAAACGGCAACCAGATAAAATCACTCAAACAATTCAAACTCTGCCCTGGAAGTTGAAGGATATTCATTCAGAAGAGTTATGGCGCCTGACGGTGAAGGACGAGATTCTTAGAAAGCCACGAGGCTGATGTCCCTTCTAATAACCAAAGCAACAATTAACAAAGATACATGGAATGTTCGGACAATATGGGAGACCTGCAAGACCAGTAAAATCACTGCGAAAATGAGAAGATACAACTCGATGGAGCTCGAAATAAGTAAAAGCCATTGAACACAAATCAGACAGAAAAGACTAGATTCGGGAGAGATGCTGTTGTACTCTGGTCACAAAGAAGAAAGTGCTTCGCACACACAAGGAGTTGCACTGCCACTTTCTAAAAAAGCACTCATAGAATGAGAATTTCATTGGCCCAGAATCATTAAAACGTTCTTCGAAATGAAGGTTGGAATCACAATGAATGTTTTCCACTGTTATGCGGCTATCGATAAAATCAACGACGACGATGGAGATCAGTTTTATGAGAGGCTGCAGTCGATCGTAGACAGGTGTCCAGGAAAGGACCTGGCCATCCCAATGGGAGACCTAAACATCACAGTAGGAATGGACAACATCGGATATGAAGATATCATGTGACGAAATGAGCTGACTGAGAGAAAGGAACGAGAATGGAAAGAGATTTTCATATTCATATGTCTCCAACAAAATGGTTATTGGTGACACTATGTTCCTCCACAAACGCGTAAGTGAAGCGACATGGGTCTCAACGGGTCACATTACAGAGGACTAGATTGATCATGGGGCTCAAAACAACTGTCAGCCAAAATCGAAGAATCTTCGATACAAACGTCAAGCTAGTTTTATTGTACGCAACTGTAACTTGGAGAACCACTACAACCATCATCATAGAGGTACATTTATTTACAAACAGTTGTCTACGTGAGATACTCCCGATCCGTTGGCCGGATACCATCAGAAACAACCTACGATACCACGGAACAAACCAACTTCCAGTCGAAGAGGAAATTAGCAAAAGACGCTAGAAGTGGATAAGACATACATTGAGGAAATCATCAAACTGCATCATGAGGCAAGCTCCAACTTGGAATTCTGAAGGTGAAAAACAAAGGAAACCAATGAAGAATCGGAGCCAGATACCAAAGGAATGAAAAGTGATTGGTTACAACTCGTAAGGAGAGCCCAAGGAGGAATCAGTTGGAGGATTCTGGTGAGCAGCCTGTGCTTCATCAGGAGAAACAGTGAAAGATATCAAACTTTGAACATCCAGATGGCACATCTTTTAAAAACATACAGGTTTAATATTTAGGTGTTTATAAATGACTGGCAGGGGAAATGCTCTAAACACGCTTAGTAATAATATGAAAACATCCTACATCAAGCTTGAATTGCTAAAACTATCTACTGTTATTTGAAAATAAATAATGCTGGAAAGCTTTAGAAAGGAGCTAAAATGTAGATGGTCTGCAAGCAATGAAAACACTTATTATTAGTTCTATATTTTTATCTATTAAATATAATAAATCATTACACACAATGAACGTCATTAGAATAGAATTTTCAACAGATAAAAGTCGACTAAGGAATAAGTGATATAAACTTACATTTTTGCTCAGGTAAGACATCATGAATTTTGGTCACATTCATGCACTTTAATAGTAAATCTATCATTTCCTGTGGTACTAAAGTTTCCGTTTGACAGTCATGGAAAGATTTGAGTAGATGTTGAATATTGCCTAATGGAATATCTGCATACGTTGTGTAAAGATAATTTGTAGTTGCAGGCCATTCTCCTGCCACAGTGTCGACTAAACGGATCAGTGGGTTTAAGTTAAGGTGTTTACGAAACCAGCGAACCATGACTGGAGTCGAACGTAAAGCACGAGCTAACTGAACATCACTGAAACCGAGCCTTTTAGCGATCATCACTTTTTCAGCATGTCGCACTAAAGTATAAAAGGAGCTGTTGTCTGGAACGGTTGTTGGTATACACTCCAATAACTTCATAGCATTTGCGAGAGCGCCTTCATGTAGCTAAAAGTTAAAAGGTTATGGGAATCGCAAGTCAAATACAAGACAGGTTTATTTAAACTGTTGATAAAAAAACAAATAATTATTATTTCAACTTAACCTTCAAGATTTCTGTTACATTGAGCATAATTTAACATCTTACAGTGTTGAAATATCTGTTACTTTTATGGTTTATAAAGTAATAGGATGGTAGGGTTATCCCAAATCTAAGAGTATGTCGATTTCCTAAAAGTTCGATCAAAACGTATATTGTAACTTGATTCACAGTAATCTAATTTTGTCACAAAAAATGAAAAACAAAACTAGTATCATAAAGTTTGACAGACAGTTTATTTTATGCATACGTTTTACTGAGTTCGGATGTTACAAATAAATGACTATACAAACATAAAAATAGTACTACACAACCCCAACTTATTTGAGCATTCACGAAGTTAGCGTTTACATAACTTCATTACCAAATCAAATGTACTATGTTGCCATGCAAAGACGAAAAGCTTTATGTAAACGTGATAGATGAACCAATAAGTTACTGTACATACCTAGAAAATGTATACTTACAGCTAAAATAAATCATAATACATATGGTGAATCCAATATATTACAGAAAAGTTAGATACGTCAGAAAACAGAATAACAATTGATTGATTTTATCTGAGTGTTTAAGTATAATTTTGAACTTTGAACCACTAGATGTGATGGATTCATAAGTATTAAATCCGTTTTATTATGGGTTAAAAACTTCCTCCACTACTGATGTATATGTATTATTAAAATGATAGTAATCTCACATGTTGCACTGACTGAAGAGAACAAGTATGTATAATTTAATAAACCACCAAGGGATAACTTATAAAAATGTCAATCTTTTTAGACAGTCGATAGAAACAACTGGTTTTATTTGAGTGACGCTACATAAACTCTTAGTGAGGCAAAAAGCTATGCGAAAATGTCAATTGTTTCAGTGCTATTCTCTATGTTTAACATAAAAATTTATTGCACCGGAAGATTATTAAATATCAACAACTAAATGACATTAATCTTACCGATTCCAACTCTTTTGCACAATTAACAATGGAGCGCATGCGATATAGAAACCATGGATCTATGGAAGTAAGTGCATGAAGATGTTCAACTGACCAGCCAGATCGTAGTGCTGCAGACAATTTGTAGATTCGTATATCCGTAGGATCAGATAAATCATTTTCATCAGGAGCTTCGAGTGAGCCATCAAATCCAGAGACGCTTTCGTTCGTCATTCTAAGAGATTTTTGTAAAGCCTCTTCAAAACAGCGTGCTATTGCCATTACTTCACCAACGCTTTTCATGGAGCTGCCAATTTTACGGCTCACCTTGAAATAGATTTTTAAAACATGCTCATTGTGAAAACTCGTCTATACATTCCTAACAACTATTCAATTCAACACAGCTGCTTGTATTTTTCTCAGATGTACTTGTGAATAGTAAGAAACATCAGCAAATTAGCACTTGTGAGACGTTTTAAGAATAGACCCTTATTCAAATACATTTGTTTATTCATTGATCCCCTCTATCCCATTATATTCAATTATCGCATAAAAATTAAACTTCGAGCAATAAAATGTTTATTCTCACTACTACGAATTTGTCCAACTTGTTTTATTTGTGTAACCATTATTAGTGTTATTTATCATATTAAACACTTCAAGCCATTGAGTTACCATCAAAAAACATAATACAAAACAATATTCTGAAAGCGATCATAAGTTATTTATTTTATTTGTTTATTTGAACTCATAAATATTAAATAGGAATAATATATTTGTAAAATCTCAGCGAATGAATTTGTAGGAAATCCAACGTTTCCTTGAAAAAGCTTGGACCAGATTGCCAGGAAAAACGTTGGATTTACTACGAATTCATTCGCTGAGATTTTACAAATATATTATTCCTATTTAATGTTTTACATCAACTCGGCGCTCAAATACTGTGAAACTATTCGCTCTAACTTAGACGAGAGTTCTTATATATTATTCATAAATATTGGGACAAAGGGGCACCAGATACACATGCGCCACACAATCACAACGGGAATGTGGAGAAAAAGGAGAACAATAACAAACAGAAACTAGTGTATGATACTGAAGTAATGATGGTGAGAAAAGCAGTTTGGTTAGCAAAGGTACAAACAGAAAGAATTCTTATCAGAAGGGGTTTTGTGGAGATTTAGTATTATCATATTTGAAAGCGTGATTCAATTGAAGCTAGACCACCATGGAAAACCTGGAAGCACTGGACGGCCGTTTCGTCCTATTATGGAACTCCTCAGCAGTGCGCACCCATGACTCACGCTTTCAACTATGGAAATACTAAATCTCAAAAAAAACCCATTCGGATAATAATAATAATCACATGCTCACTAGTGACTGACTTCGAGAGGTAAATCCAGGAGTTCTACTGAGAAGCAGTGACCAGTGAAGTTCAAACCAGGTCTGTTGTGAGATAGAAACTCACTGAAGACAATTGGTGAACGGTTGCTCAACTTCATGGATCAGTTGAAGTTAGACAATAACACCGTTGAATCACGGCTCAGTGGTCTATCGGTTAAGTGCTCTGGCGCGAGACTGGTAGGTCCTGAGTTCGAATCTCGCGAGTGCGGGATCGTGGTTGCGCGCTGCTGAGGAGTTCCATAATAGGACGAAACGGCCGTCCAGTGCTTACAGGTTTTTCATGATGATCTAGCTTCAATTGACTGACGCTTTCAATTAAGAAAGAAATCTTCCAGTTAAAGAAGTTACGTCCAATTTTTATGAAGAAAGTAAAATAAAGTTACAGCGAAATCGCCACTAGCTTCTCTTATGAGATATGTCTGATAACGATGCCTCAAGCCACTGCGCCGCACCATCTCTAGAACTCCAACCAGGGAGTTGTGAAGGAACAACAGAAGCGAGACCTATACAGTTTTATTTCTTACCACGATACCACATCATGCAACGACTATCTCTCCGCTTTTCCCAACCAGTCCCAGCGTCGGAAAATAACCCATGATGTGGAATTCTCTGGGATAATATTCGTAGGACACGTCCAAGCCACCGAAGTCGATGTTTTAAGATAGTAACACGAACTGAATTATCGCTGCTGTGCTCGAACACACAATGACGAACCCCTGCATTACTAACATGGTGCTGCCACCAGATGTTAGTAATCTTTCGGAGAAAACGATGATCAACAACAGAGAGTCACCTATCATCCTCAACTCAGAGAGGCCACAAGCATAGAGCAAAACTGCTTCCACTGATGCGTCATGCGATTTTAACCAATGTTCATCCATACTTTTCGGCAGGAGGGCAGTTAACTTTGAAACTAGCTTGGTTTAATATTTAGTTGCATCAGAAGCTGCAACACATTTACTGACATCGATCCGTTTACGACGATAGACTTGTTAGTCACTGAGAAGTAAGGTAAAATTAGCGCAAACAAGAACATGATCAGGGTCCAGATAGGTACTCCAAAGGGGGCGGCAGTCCTGTACACAACCACGCTAGTGGTAGCTGATCGCCATGTGACCAATCTAAGTGCAGGCTTAAAATGAAGGAGGGTGCCAGGTGGCATATCGGCGATGACTATATCGATAGTTATTGCTAGCCAGAAACAGATTGTAGTCTGAGAAAAGTTGCAGTAGACGGTCACCGTTATCTGGCCTGCGACCAGCAAGTCGCCATCGACCACCTAAAGGATTCTCTTCTGTGCCTAGACGCCCGACATGATCATTCAAGTTTCCGGCTAGTAATACAATATCTGTCGAACGCACTTTCTGTTGAAGAACTGTCAACTGGTAGTAAAACTCGACCTTGATCGCATCCGAGCTTAAATCTGTCGGAGCATAGGCGGAGATGACGAAAAGACATCGTTTCTCACACCGATTTCTTCTCATTTTGACAGAACTTTCTAGTCGAACAAAAAATAACCGACTGTTAATGGGGATCCGATTGGTCAGTGCTGCCCCAGCTCTAGAGCTTAGTACGCCAGTAAAACCAAACGAAGATGCCACAGGGTCCCCGGATAAACGCACGTGAAACAAGCTTTTCAAAGCGACAGATGGGGAGCGAATTTGTAGTACTTCACTAGAGTCTTGAATACGGGTATCGGATAGAAAACAGACATCGATATTAAGACTTTCTAAAGACATAGCCAACTATATCTGTTGTCCGACCTGCATTAGTGTACGAGCGTTGAAGGAAGCCAGTTTGAATGGTGTACGTGGTTTCAGAAAGACTGTTTCAGTATTCTTAGTAGGTGGTAGCGTTCAACTTTTGACCAGTCAGTGACTCAAGATCGTCTAGATGGGACAAGGTCTCCAGCATAGGAGAACTGTGGTATAAGTTGAAAAATAATAATACACAAAGTGAGAAAAGAAAAGAGTAGATAAGTGACGTAGTACGTAAAAATAAAAATGAATGTGAGTTGTCTGAATTTTAATTGAAGCGAAAATAGTATATCCAGTATTAATTGTCATTTCATTTGATTTGTGTGAGGGCCGGAATACTGTCCGGGCTCCAAAACCGAAGCAGGTAGCTTTCTTAGAGGGTCACCTACCACTTAAAGGTTTAATCCACATAGCAATGGAGCAACGTTAAGAGATGCAGTCCCATGGTAGCCGGTGACCAACAATAGGTTCATACTCCATTTGTTTCTCTAGGATAGTGAAGCTAATGGGCACCATTGGTTTGGAATCAGGGTTTTCCAACTCCCCAAGCTGGACCCTCCGTACCCACCAACCCGGTTAAAGCGCCGGACATTCGCTTTCCGTCCACTCAATTTCGTGAACAACACCTCGTTTGCGAGAAGGCAGTGAGTAGGACTTCTCTGACAGTGGTTGTATATACATGGCCATGTGAAAGCATTTCGAGAGAGAGGGAGTGGAATCTCCTCACCCTGGCCGTACCAGAGCATAAGTTAGTGATGAGAGGTAGCACAGAGAAACAAGAAGCCACACGCTGAACTAATCATTGGGTTCATATATATTTAATATTTTCAGCAAGTGTATGATAGAATTTATCAGACAAAGGGGATTGACAAGACTGTGCGCCAAGTTGATAATTTCTAAGTGTGACATCAATGATAATGAACGAGATCACTCCCTATTATTTTCTTTCCTGCCCGCTAACAAGAGATAGAAGTTTAAGCTTATCCAAAAAACAGGGTATAAAGACAGTACATAATTTCAAACTACTCATTAAACGAAATGATCGCTAAACACTTATTCGGTGGTCCGTTACATCACTCGCAGCATAATGTGTTTAAAACGTTTTCGTACATTTCCAAATGGCTATTTACCTACTCATTATACAGATGAGACGTCTATAGAAAATGTATGATTTTTATCCCAAATGTTCAAGTACAAAAAAACCTTTTTTCAACTTAACAACTATTTTTGGATTTAAATTAACAGATTGTGTTATACCTTTTTATGAAGACTGCTAATGTCATTTATTGATAAGTGAAGGTTGTTTTCATTCAAAGTTAAGTAATTTAGAATCAAAGTGTTCAGGAAATCGAAATATCGAAAAGCTTGGCAAACAGAAGCTAAAATAATGATTACTCAGAAATAAGAATGAAAAAAATTATTTGATTGTTACGAGTAAACAACAGTCACGAAGATAAAGATTGAACTTACTCTAGAAAACTTCTCTAAATCCCAGCGTGGAACTTTCACAACACAGTAATCTAAACTAGGTTCGAAACATGCTGTGGTGAGACCACCAGTTACACTATTTGTAAGTTCCGGGAGACTCTTACCCAAGCTAAGTTTGGCAGCTATATAGGCTATAGGATAACCAGTGGCTTTACTAGCGAGTGCAGAGCTTCTAGACAGTCGGGCATTTACTTCAATGATGTAATAGTTCAAAGAATGTGGGTCTAACGCAAACTGGATATTGCATTCACCAACAATCCGCAAATGACGAGCGACCTAAAATTGAAAATCGAAAAGTGTGCAGGGAAATCACATAAATGGTATTATTGGTTGTTACAAATAAGAGATATGTGAACTGATAATAATCCATAAAAAACAGTACTAGGTGGAAATAAAGAGTCAAACGACAAGGAATATTAATTAAGCTATGATAAAGTATATTAGCATATTGGGTTAAGGACTAATAAAAAAGGTTTGCTTACTTTAATTGCAACTGACCGTAACATATAATACTCAACATTCGAGAGTGTTTGACTTGGTGATACAACAATAGATTCCCCGGTGTGAATGCCTACAGGATCGACATTTTCCATGTTACAGACTGTAATACAGTTGTCATAAGCATCACGTATAACCTAAATAAAAAATGTTAGTTAGAATATCATACAATAGGAACGGATGTAACTCAGTATAAGTTCATTTATATTTCATGATGATTAATAATATTTTAGTAAAAACTAACCTCATACTCAACTTCTTTCCATCCCTTCAAAGATTTGTCGATGAAAATTTGAGTCGTCTGAGCTAAGGCTTTACCAGCCAGTCGTTCTAGTTCAGTAGCGTTTTCAGCAAACCCTGACCCCATTCCTCCTAATGCGAAGGCTGCACGTACAAGCACAGGATAACCAAGATCATTTGCAACTTTGACCGCATCCTACAAATATTATAGATGATAATCAGTCCTTGTTAACTAATAAATGAAGCATATGTTTTGGTGTTTATCTTACTCAAAATTAATGATTCAAACTAAAATGAGCATCAAAACACTGACACACCTGCACAGAGGTCGCTGCATTTGCTGGAGCAACTTTTTCTCCTATAGATCGCATGGCTGTTGCAAATAGTTCTCTATCTTCTGTTATTTCAACGGCAGATATGGAAGTACCCAAAATCCGACAATTATATAAATCTAACACATTTGATTTCTTTGAATCTTCACCTTTAAGATCCGGAATTAAAGAACTTGACCCAACCTTTGTCAAAGCGAGACCACATGACAAACTAGTCTGACCACCGAAAGCTATTAGAAGACCATCTGGGCGCTCTGCTTTTATCACGCGGGCAACAGAATCTGGTGCGATTGGAAGTAAAAATATCTGTAAGGGTTCAAGGCAATGAAAAACATGTTATACTTTTATCCAATTATAATTAGGAAAAATTGAAATCGGCGACGAAACGACGTAATATGATGAGATTCCTACTGCTCACCATCAATATTCCTATAACTGACAAGTCGCGACAAGCCGAAAAATGCTTTTGAAAAGCATAACACAACACTTTCTTAATAATATCTTTTTCCAATCGCTTATGAATTGATTTCTCTGTTTGTGAGTGTCAGAAAATAGATCAAAACATATTATCGTCTATTTTTACTACTGATTGGAAAGACCGTTGCAAAATTAGAGATATATGTGAATGAACAATTCTGGTTTCCATGAATATACAAGAACATGGTGTCAAGTCTCTTAAAGTCTCCCAAAAACTTCCCTATGAAATACATGTAGAATAAGAGATAAGACTTAGCATAAAAATTGACTTTAAACATAGTAGCGACTGATTAATATCTTTGGATAACAGACGATTACAAGACGAGTGATTATGGTCGATATCTTAATATTTGAACAAAGCAACTTGTCTTGCAACCGCACATCTACAAGTAATGTTGAGTACATACCAGATTGCTCACACAGAAGCTACGAGATAAAACTTTAGGACAAGAACAATCAAAACTATCGGAACTAGAGTGAATGTAAGCAACTAACTAATAGCACATTTGAAGAAGTGAATGAAAACATATTCCACAAAGTCTTACCTTGTCAGCCATTCCTTCGGTCGTCTGTACAGTTGCAATATTTGAATTGATCAGTAACGTTTGAACACCTTCTTCTCGAAGGGCCTTAAGAGCCTGACTACCAGAATAGTCAAATTCCCCAGCCTGACCAATTGATAAACCGCCAGAACCTAGAAGCAAAACCTTTCTTGGTTTATTGTCTTTACTGCAAAGCACTCTTTCAAATTCCTCCTGCTTATAGGAAATGTGATTCGTTAGACAATCACTTAAACTTTGTCCACCAGATGATCGGGTCTATAAAAAAGTGAAGCAAAGGAGGATGAATTTGAACAGTAATCCTGTTGAAAACATAACAGGATCGTTAAAACCTAATAAGCTTTTTTAAAGTTAAACTAATTAACTTACGTAACTTAGGAAAACATCAAACAAAAACTCCAGGTCGCTTGGTCCAGCCATATGTTCAGGGTGAAATTGAACAGTCATCCATGGATGAGTGTAATGAGCAAGACCTTCATTTGACCGGTCATTTTTATTCCGAAACAATTCATACCAGCCATCCGGAATGTTTTTAGTGTCAACTGCATATCCATGATTCTTTGGGAACAAATAAAAAATTCAACGCCAATAAGCTTAGCCACTGAAAAAATAATAAACATACTACAAGATGAAATCGCATCACTATATTTCATCGGGTTAACCGAAACCAAATATTTATTTAACTCATGTAAATCTAGTTAGTATACTCTAAACCGTAGAATACATCAGTTTTATATCTGGTCGTCTACTGTCAGTAAATGAGACGTAAAAGGAACTTGAATAACCCAACTTCTATACTTTTAAGTCAGGTATTAGGAGGTTAATGTTCAACTAGTCACGTCCACATGTTTACGCTTAGCCAATACCAGATTACTTTTACGACAGGATTGGTCCTTTTCCAACTAAAAGATGTTCAGAAGCACTTATTTTAGCACTTGAGTCATTGAAACACTCATGAAAATTTCTCTTTGCAGCTTGTCAGGCTGTCATCTTTAAGTATATACATGTTGAAAATTATTTTGTTTACACCTCGGTTCGGTTGAATCAAAATGTGTTTATCAAAGAGATATAAACTTTAGATTATATAAACTTAGGTTTTTCAAGGAACCAATTGTTATCTTCACTTGAGATTTACTAAAATCTGTATGTCGTTCAAAACTAGAATTCCACGTCTATCACTTACATAGTTATTCAGCGGTTGTTGACAGAACTATGCAAGATATCGCTATTTTACCGCAGCCGAAATTGATTTCTACTTTGTACAATGAAGGTATGATTTGACCGCTAGAGGATGTGGTAGTTGGCCAGTTGATTGCATTTTAAGTTAGTAAATCAGCTTATAATAGTCGGATTTTATTCCAAACATACATAGAGATGTAGTTTAATTCATAAGTCCTAAAATTGACTGCTCAGTTTGTTTACATAGTATTTTAGGCTATCAATGAAATTGATGAGATATGAAATAGAATTTTACGGAAACAGAAGATTTTTAAGTGTTGACTTTCTGCATTATCATCATATTGCATAATTTTTACTAAGGTATTAAGCATATGTACAACTTGATCTTATTGGTATGGGTAATTTGCAAATATAGTTTAAAATGTGAACAACACACTGTTTTGACGTTATCTGCAACATTTATTAAAACTTGACCGAAAATGTTGTGTGTACAGATTAACCTCGACAAATTTGGCAGTTTTTATGGTTACTATAACTACTAAATTCCGTAAGTGGACCATATACTATCAACTGTTAATGAAAAACTACGCATGAAATTTGAACATTATAAAACTTCTACGACAAGAACAGAATTTTTACGGGGACCCTCCCATATGACTGGGTAGTTAGAAAAATCGCTTAAACAATTGAGCAAAGAGGCTACTTTTATCAGAGCATCATTGAATGAAGTATGTGATAAGGGGGAATATAATTTGTCGTAGGACTTTAGCCTACAATTGAATGTTTTACACTAGAGGATTTTCTAAAACAAAATTAAACCGCACACATTTAAAAGTTATCTTACCTGACTGGTTATAAAACAGCGTCCAGTAGGCAAGTGAACACAAGGTTGGTTGTGACCTCTATTTCCATATTTCATTTTGTATGTTTTGAAACCACATGCCAAAGCAACTAACTGGTGACCTAAGCAAATGCCAAATAAAGGCTTTTTTGTGGTCATCCATCCTCGAATCTGGTCAATAATACCCTTACATTGAATAGGGTCTCCAGGACCATTACTAATAAATAGTGCATCATAATTTGTTTCAGTTTTAGTTAGGTCACTTGACCAGGGCAAAACCGTCACCTAAAAGAAATTATCGAACAGATATTACAAAGTATTGTTAGAAGATAAAATATGTGTGACAAAAGTCTTAAGCAAATCTGACGTTACATAACTACTCTTTTTAGGTGAAACAGCATTGAATATAAATGCTAATACCTAATGAAAACTATGAAAGGAACTAGGGCAACTAGAAACTGATTGTGCAGTAGGTACATAACACTGCAACCACTAGTTGGTTTACATGCAGTGTCGTCGTGTGACAGATGCTGGTGAAGCACCATTAAGTACTCTTCGTTCCCAAACTTCAATGGGTTGATATCATCATATAAAAGTAAGTTGTATTATCTCCACAGTTGCTAAAGATGAATCATTTAACGTCAAAATACTTTGAAATATGAAATGTTTTCAAAAACTGAGCCGATGCAGAAGAGCATTATGGGCTCTGAGACAAACGTAATAAAGCCTTACCTTTGCACCTCTCCTGACAAAACAGCGTATTTGATTAAACTTCATCCCGCAATCTAGTGCAGCGATATGAACATCTCCATGAGGGTTGAAGACTTTGATATCAGTTCTGCTTACTTCCGAAACTAGATTACTTTTAGAAGGGTCGATCCAATCGAACGTTTCTGGACGAAGTGAAAGGGGAATAATTTTTCCCAGAAGCGTACCTAAAAGCATCATGCAACCAATAAAAATCAAAATACCATGTTGTCTAAGCTTTAGGGTTAGGGATCGCGTATCGATTCCACTTATACATGTAACACCACTTTCATATAACCAACGACTAAGTGACTTGACTGCTGAAAAGTGAGAAAACTCTTCACACAACTCAGAAACAATTAGCCCTTTAGCATATATTTGGCTTGATTCAAACCACTTAGGCAAACCGGATTCGTCAATATCGTCCAGTGATGGAACACCATAATTACCTGAGGCATGAAAATGTCAATGCGGCTTACCGATAGATGGATATGTTAGTACCAGTAATTGGGAGTGGTATGATGGGTCGGTCAAAGATTCTACATAACCCACCATTCCTGTCTGAAAAACCACTTCCCCAGACTGAGGAGTCTTAGCACCATATAAGAATCCATTGAATACCGAACCATCTTCTAGTATCAGAGCACCAGCACATTCACCAGTAGACATACTCGATTCACCACTGCCAACCACGGGAAGTTGACGGATGTTTGAAAAAACGGCAATAAGTGCATCAAAAACCCGGCAACTTTAAACACACATTGTGAGAAAATTATTGTTTTCAGCCACGAATATCCTTAAAGTGTGGCCTAAAAATAGAATATAATAGTTAAAATTACAATGAGGTCACAACAATTTTCACTGTGATTTTCTACTATTCGTTATTATTTGGAGAAGACATAAGTCATGGAAATCAACCAACGTCGACTCATTCCTAGATGGAAGCTACTCTGATGATTCAGAAGTACTTTAACCCTTACAGAATTTTCAATCTGTAACAGTTGAGAAATTATTTCTTGTTGATGAATCACTAGTTAGGGCAATGCTATGTCTGGACGACAATCACTATAACACTATTGGTCAGCTGATGTCATGTACGGCCCGATTTAGTTTCAGTTTCAGTTTCATTTTGGAAAGGACAGGAGGCTTGATGGCCTGTGTTAGTCCTGGCAATGATGGTCTCTCAGCTGATCCAACTTTCTTTTGAAGGAGTCGACGGATGGAGCCTCAACCACGTGCTGAGGTAATGAATTCCACTCGTTGATTATTCGATGGGAAAGTCGGTAGTCAGCTGACAAGTAATTCGTTCTGGGCTTGTGAACTTTTTTGGAGTGTCCTCGTAGATTTTCTGTTTTGGAAGACAAGAAAAATGAGGGCATATCAGGTGCAAATTTGTCATTTAGCAATTTGAAAACTATAATCAAGTCACCTCTGATTCTTCTATATGACAGCGGGAATAGGTTTATCTTGGTCAGTCTAGTACCATACAGGAGCTTCGCTATTCCGGGAATCAGCCTAGTTGCTGTTCTCTGAACCCTTTCCAAGAGTTCACTGTCTTTTTTAGGTAGGGGTTAGCTGCTTGTATACAGTACTCAAGTTTAGGGCGTACGAACACTGTATACAAAGTCAAAAACGTTTTAGCGTCAAGATGCCTAAAAGCCCTGCGTATGGACCATAAAGTCCCAAAGCCTTTGGCGGCTATTGCACGGCAGTGTGCAGTAGTCTTTAAGTCTTGACTGACGATGACGCCTAAGTCGTTGTGTGCCTGAACAATAGGTAACTCAGTGTTATTCATCGTGTATGTATCTGTACCCTGATGGCCAATATGCATCACAATACACTTGGAAGTGTTTATCGGCAATTGCCAGGTTTGGGACCATTCAGATAATCTCTCCAGGTCATTTTGAAGTTCTAAGCTATCGCCCTTGCTTTGTGCCGCTCTCCATATCTTGACATCATCAGCATAGAGTAAGACCGATGACGATAGTAGACGAGGGAGATCATTTACGTACAGGAGGAATAACACTGGCCCCAAAACTGTACCCTGGGGGACTCCACTAAGCACAGTTTCCCAGCTAGACAACTTGGAGTTCACCCTTACTCTTTGTTGACGCCCAACTAGGAAGTCTTTTATCCACATCAATAGATTGCCTCCAATCCCGACATTCCTTAGCTTATATAACAGCCGGTTATGCGGAACTTTGTCGAAAGCTTTGCTGAAATCGATGTAAGCTACGTCTATAGGTAATTTTTGGTCCTTAAGAGTGCACCAGCTTTCACGAGCGACTAATAAGTTTGTGTGACAAGAATAACCTGTTCTAAAACCATGCTGCTTTTCGGAAAGGATCCGGTTTTCATCGAGATACTTTAACAGTTCATTCCGAATAATCTTTTCTAAGATTTTAACAACCACACTAGTTAGGCTAATTGGTCGGTAATTCTCAGGCTTATGTTTTGTACCTGTTTTGAAGACTGGACTTACTATGGCGTTCTTCCAGTCTTTTGGTAGACGACCCTGGGTTACGGATAGATTAAAACATGCACTTAAAGGGTTCGCAACAAAGTTAGCTAATTCCTTTAGTAGCCTAGGATGCAGTTCATCGGGTCCAGTGGATTTACCTATGTCAAGCTTAACTAGCAGACCAAAGACATCGAGTTCTTTAATGGTTACGCTGTCCAGTGCTTGTGTGGGGGGATTTTCATGGACTGGTGAGAAGGGTGTTTCTATGGTGTATACATTGCTAAAGTATTTAGAGAATACTTGAGCTTTGCCAAAGTCGTCCTCCACTAGTGATGTGGCAGTACTGTCTCCCCATAGTGAAGGAACATTTCTTCTTCTTCTTGTCCTTTGGTTTATATACGAATACAAGCGTTTAGGGCATTCTATGGATTCCCTAACGATTTTCTCTTCGTACAGCTTTCTGGCCTTACGGAGGGTCGAGGCACAGGTATTTCGAGCCTTTTGATACTGAGATTTTGCCTCGTCAGTCCCCAGTAACCTAAATCTGTCCCACATTTTCCTTCTTTTACGGAGAAGGATGCGAACCTCCCTACTGAACCACGGTGGGGAGTTTCTCGGTCTCTTAGGTGTAGTCCAAGGGATGTGGGGGGTGGTAACTTTTAAGTATAAATTCCGGAATACGTCCCAAGCCGTTTCGATTGATGACTCTGGATCTAATTTCCAATCTACTAATGATGCTGATTTCATGATGTCTGCTATGTTTGCTTTCCAGACGTTAGGTCTGGATTGAGCTGAAGCGTACTCGTGATCGACAGTTATATGGAAGTCAAAGCTTAAAACTGCATGATCACTTTTGCCTAGGGGTGGCATGTAATCCAGGTTTGCAACACCATCCTCATAATGAGTCAATATAAGATCTAGTAAGGATGATGCAGAACCCGGGTCGTACCTAGTTGCTTCCTTCACGTGTTGTACTAGAGCACATGTGATCATCGAATCAACTAGTTCCTGTTCGAAGGAGTTTGCTGACGATTCAGTCCGCAGATTTCCCCAGTCCACCATGGGTGCATTGAAGTCCCCTAGGATTAGACATCGATCACTTCGTGATAAAGTGTTGAGACTGCTTAGCAGGACCTCGTTTGCCTCACAGCTTGGACTGCGATAGATCAAACTAAGTAGTAACTCTTGTCCCCTGCATTTCAGGCGGCAGCAAATTAATTCATACGTCCCACTCTCATGGGATACACTGTCGATAATGGTGAATGGAATAGCATTCCTAATGAATAGAGCTACTCCCCCTCCTTTACGCGTTTGTATTCTATCGGCCCTTACCAATGTAAAACCCTCGAAATCAAGTTCCCTCCTATCTATATCCCTTCTAACAACCAGAGCAACATTCTTTATAGGTACATGGAACGTCCGGACAATGTGGGAAACAGGAAAGACCAGCCAAATAGCAATGGAAATGAGGAGATACAACTTGGCAGTACTCGGAATCAGCGAAACCCATTGGACACAAACTGGACAACAAAGGCTAGGTACAGGAGAGATGCTGCTGTACTCCGGTCACGAAGGGGAAAATGCGCCACACACTCAGGGAGTTGCTCTAATGCTGTCCAAAGAAGCGCGAAATGCACTTGTGGGATGGGAATCTCATGGACCCAGGATAATCAAAGCATCAATCAGAACAAAGAAGCAAGGGATCACAATGAATGTTATCCAATGTTATGCACCCACCAATGATAGCAACGACGATGATAAAGATCAGTTCTATGAAAGGCTGCAATCAATTATGGAGAAGTGCTCACGAAAGGACCTCACCATCCTTATGGGAGATCTAAATGCTAAAGTTGGAGTGGACAACACAGGATATGAAGATATAATCGGACGACATGGACTAGGAGAAAGAAATGAAAATGGGGAGAGACTTGCAAACCTTTGTGCTTTCAACAAATTGGTTATAGGCGGCACAATATTCCCACACAAACGCATACACAAAGCTACATGGATCTCACCGGACCAAAACACAGAGAACCAGATAGATCACATCTGTATCAACAAAAAATTCCGAAGATCAATGGACGATGTGAGAACCCGGAGAGAAGCTGATATAGCTTTAGATCACCACCTGGTTGTGGCCAAGATGAGACTGAAGCTAAAGAAAGACTGGACAACTGGACAAACAGCACTACAAAGGTTCAATACAGCCTTCCTTCGAGATGCTGACAAGCTCCATGAATTCAAGATAACTCTCAACAACAGGTTCCAAGCTCTACAGGATCTACTGAAAGAACAAGAAACTACTTTGGAGGACAACTGGAAAGGGATAAAAGAATCACTAACTTCAACGTGTCAGGAGGTTCTTGGTCCTAAGAAGCATCATCACAAGGAATGGATCTCTCTGGGAACCCTGGACAAAATTCAAGAAAGGAAGAACAAGAACCTAGCAATTAACAACAGCCGAACACGAGCAGAGAAAGTCAAAGCACAAGCAGACTACGCAGAAGCAAACAGAGAAGTGAAGAAAAGCATTAAAGCCGACAAGCAGAAATACATGGGAGAACTAGCAACGGCGTCGGAAAAAGCTGCAAGAGAAGGGAATATGAAACAACTATATGATACAACGAAGAAATTGGCAGGGAGATATAGCAAACCACAGAGACCAGTCAAAGATAAAGAAGGAAAGACAATCACTGAGATTCAAGAACAGAAGAAAAGATGGGCAGAATACTTCGAGGAACTGCTGAATAGACCAGCCCCATTGAATCCACAGAACATCGAAGCAGCCCACACAGACCTTCCAATAGATGTCACTCCACCAACGATCGAAGAAGTCAAGATGGCCATCAGACAAATCAAAAGTGGGAAGGCGGCAGGACCTGACAATATACCAGCAGAAGCACTGAAGTCAGACATTGAAATAACTGCAAACATGCTTCACCTTCTATTCAAAAAGATTTGGGAAGAGGAACAAGTGCCAACGGACTGGAAAGAAGGATATCTCATCAAGATACCAAAGAAAGGAGATCTGAGCCAATGTGAGAACTACAGAGGTATCAGTTTGTTATCAGTACCAGGAAAAGTTTTCAACAGAGTGCTGCTGAATCGGATGAAAGACGCAGTAGACGCCGAACTTAGGGATCATCAGGCTGGATTCCGTAAGGATCGGTCGTGCACAGACCAGATTGCGACACTACGGATCATCGTTGAACAATCAATTGAGTGGAACTCATCACTATACGTCAACTTCATCGACTATGAGAAGGCGT